CCCTTCCCTCTGAGCTCCCTCCATCTGCTCCATGCTTCCGTGTCTCTGGATCTATTTTGTTCACCAGTTTATTTTGTTCATTAGATTCCACATATGAGTGAGATCACGGGACACTTGCCTTTCTCGACCTGGCTTATTTCCCTCAGGATCATACCCTCCAGGTCCTTCTATCTGCTTTCAGCTCAGCATACTAATGCGATGAGCCCGTCTTTCTGTTCCCGGTGGAATCCTGGGGAAAAGAACATTCAATATTTATACAAATGCCCACGGGGAGTGTGTAGCCCTCGGACACCTGGCATTCCTGCAGCTCAGGATGCCTTGTGCTCAGGTGACCCTCCTGGTCCCCCCACCCTGCAAGCACCTCTGGAGACTCAGCCCCCCTGCAGGTCCTCTGCACAGCGAGTTCTTTTGTTCTTTGCCACGTTCATAAATCAGCAAGAAAGGCCTCCTCCTCCTGTACTGGCCTTGGAGTCCTGAGTGTCTACGTGTTTTCCCAGGAACTTAGTCAGGTCTCTCTCTCTCCACGAGGCCAGCTCCGNCTCCTGTACTGGCCTTGGAGTCCTGAGTGTCTACGTGTTTTCCCAGGAACTTAGTCAGGTCTCTCTCTCCACGAGGCCAGCTCCAGAAGGGATGAAAGCTCACTAAGGTGACATCTGAGCCTGGGGGCTGATCTCTGGCCCTGAGCTGGGCGAGGCTGTGAGTCNTCTCTCTCCACGAGGCCAGCTCCGGAAGGGATGAAAGCTCACTAAGGTGACATCTGAGCCTGGGGGCTGATCTCTGGCCCTGAGCTGGGCGAGGCTGTGAGTCAGCAGTTGGGATGGGTCAGAAGGTGGGGCTCCGAGGGTAGCTGAGCGCCTCACCCAGCTTGTCCCCTGAATGTGGTCAAACGTGTTCAGCGTGTTCCCTCCTCATATGAGACGCCCACCCATTGACCAGGGCTGAGCAGCCGGGTGTGTGTGTCCTATGTCCGTTCTCCTTCCTGGTGATGTCCAGAAAATGGGTCTTTTTTTTTTTTTAACAGCTGGCTTTAAAAAAAATTATTTTTATTTTTGAGAGTATTACAGATGCCCCCTTTTTTGCCCCCATTGACCCCCTCGACCCTGCTCCTGCCCCCGTCCCAGGCCTTCCCCACACTATTGTCTGTGTCCGTGGATTACCCACAGATGCATATAAGCTCTTTCATTAATTTCTCCCTTCCCTCCTCCCGCTTTCCCTCTGAGCTCCCTCCGTTTGCTCCATGCTTCCATGTCTCTGGATCTATTTTGTTTGTCAGTTTATTTTGTTCATTAGACTCCACATAGGAGTGAGATCATGGGACACTTGCCCTTCTCTGCCTGGCTTATTTCACTCAGCATAATACCCTCCAGGTCCCTCCCTGCTGTCCCCAAAGAATAAGAGATCCACCTTTTTCACAGCTGCATAGTATTCCACGGCGTAGATGTACCACAGCTTTTTTATCCGCTCGTCTACGGATGGGCACCTGGGCTGTTTCCAGATCTTAGCTGTTGTCAATAGTGCTGCTCTGAACATAGGGGGGCATAGATTCTTTCTGATTGGTGAGTACCTGGCTTTTAATGACCAGGTTTCCCTTATAGAAACTGTCTTAGTCAACTCAGGAATACAAAACAAAGGACACCGGGTGGAGTGGCTTAAACAACACAGTCCTGGCTCATTTCTCACAGGCCTGGAAGCTGGAAGTCTTAGATCCAGGTGCCGACAGGGCTGGTTCCTCCTGAGGCCTCTCTCCTTGGCCTGTAGACGGCCATCTCCTTGCCGCATCCTCACACGGTCACCCCTCTGTGCCTGTCTGTGTCCTAATCTCCTCTTCTTATAAGGACCCCGGTCCTATTAGATCAGGATCTACCCTAGTGACCTCATTTTACCTTAACTCCTCTCCAAAGACCTATCTCCAAATACAGCCTCATTCTGAGCTGTATTCGGAGCTGGAACAGACACCATTCAGCCCCATGACATCCATCACCCACTTGGAAGAGGAAGTGTATTAAATTACCCTTAATATTTAGAGAATGCTGAGATAAATAACTCCAGTTCAAAACGAGCAAAATTTAGCATCAAGCAATTTTTTTAATTTTTGTTTTTGTTTTTTACAAATCTCAAATCATTCTTTACATATCACTCTGCAGACATAAGAAGGAAGCGGAAAGATACCTCTTAGTTTTCGCTGGCTCTGGTTACAATTCATAATGTGTTTCCATCCCAGTCTTGTCCCTACCAGCGCCGGTGTGGTTTTCTCCTGTTGCTCAGAAAGCAAATTTGTACACAGCTGAGTCATTCCCCACCCTTGGGGGCCAAGAAAAGTGCCTCTGTGGCCACGTGGTCTCAAGGGTGTTAGCAGCAACAGCTCACTTTGCCGGCGGCGATGTCACCGGCTGCCTCTGTGTGCCGAGGGTGACTGTTTCTTCCCATCGGATCCTTGGTGGGCTTTCCAGGCATCTTGCTTCAGGCGCCCTGGCTTCCTCGTGGGTCCTGCCGTTCTGGGTGTCGGGGAGACTTCCTGGGCCTTACCTTCCATTTCACGTGATCTTTCTGTCCTGCAGGAGGAGGGTATCGACCCAACTCAGGTGGATATAATTATGGTAAAGGAACGATTTCTTAGAAGCTGTGTGGGGAGAAGCTCTCTCTGGAGAACTGACCCCTGCCTGGGCGCTGGTGGGAAGCTTTTCGGGGTGTCCTGCATGGTAACCAGCTCACCACCTGGTCCCTCATGGTTTTGCATGTGGTGAGGCCTTCGTTTCTTAACGGGATGAAGGCCTGCTCAGCGCTGGTACTTGTGGGAGGGCACGCATGTGCGTGTATATGTGCACATTTGTGCGCCTGTGTGCGTGAGTGTAGACGTGTACATACGTGTGCATATGTATCATGCATGTGCATGTGGGTGTGCACGTGTGCCNTTCTTAACGGGATGAAGGCCTGCTCAGCGCTGGTACTTGTGGGAGGGCACGCATGTGCGTGTATATGTGCACATTTGTGCGCCTGTGTGCGTGAGTGTAGACGTGTACATACGTGTGCATATGTATCATGCATGTGCATGTGGGTGTGCACATGTATTTTACACATACACGTGAGAGCATATATTTACATATATGTGTGTGCATGTTCTGTGCATGGGTGCACATGTGGCATTTGTAAGTTCACACGCGTGGAAGACATGCATCTATGCACCTGTATGCATGTGTCTCCACGTGCACACGTGGATGTCTGCTTGCGTGCCTACATGTGTCCACATGTGTGCACGTGGTGGTGTGCTTGTGTGTGTTGCATGTCTATGCTCATGCGTGCATTCCCTGACCCCTGAAATGCAAGCTCTTCCCCGTCCCTTCATGCCCCATTCCAGTCCTCGCTGTTAGATGCAGTGTCCATGTCCCGCCTTCCTCCCTCGGAACGCCTGTCCCCTCTGGGACCGTGAGCTTCGTGAGAACGTAGATTTTTGTCTGCTTGCTCACGGCTGCATTCCCGGCATCTCAACGGCGCCGGCAGCAGGGGCCAGCGATACGCTCTTCCCAAGGCACGCGTGACTCTGGTTTTCCCGTTACAGGTGGAGACAGCTACAACAACTACGGCAACCCTCACGGTAATACCTGGTGCAGCCCACCCCGACCTTAAGGAGAGAGCAGCCTTGCCTGTCCATGTGGGAAGGGCCGGAGTAGGCCTGCATTCTTGTTCCAGCCCAACGGCATTCATGGGGCGCTTCCTGAACAAAAGCGTCTGCCCTTTGGGGTGGGAGCAGGTCCGGGGAGCTCAGGGAAGGAGAGAGACTGATTCTGAGGCTGGCAGGTGCCTTGTAACCGTGAGAGCAGAGATGGGGTTCTCGGATGCGTCTCGGGGGCACCACAGCGTCCCTCTCTTCATGAACTTGAAGCCAAGAAGGAGAGAAGGGAGTTATGGTCATTCGGCCCTGGGAGGCGCACAGTCAACCCCATCGCAGGTCCAAGAATGGAGGGGCTGAAGTCAGAAGGGGACTTTTGTCACATGTAGCTGGAGATGGGTCCCAGCCTCTATGCTGAAGATGACAGGAGCCCCTACCCCCATCCCCAGTGCGGAGGCAACTGTGACATGTCAATTTTAAGGCAGAAAATAAGGGAACAACGTGGGTTGGCAACCCTACATCATGATACACAAGCAGAGTGTCGGGGTTCCTACTTGTTGGGCGTTGGGTGTTCTTAGTTGGCCCCTAAGGTGCCAGTGGGAGATACGATGCGTGAGACAAAAATGCACGTTGGACACCTAGTTTGATGAGACACATGGGGTCCTGTAGCTACACAGAGGACAGATCCTAGGCCAGGTTGGGATGGAGTGGGTCAGGACTCCTGGAAAGAGCTATATCCAAGCCAGAAGGGTGGGAGGTGGCCAGAAGAAGACAGTGAGGTGCTAGGGATGATCGTGAGCAAGGTCAGGCTGGTGACGATCCTGGAACACCAGGATGTGTGCAGCCAGGGTGTCGATGATCATGGGCAGGTGGGACAGGTGAGCAGATGGACGGGTCTACGGCATGTAGTCACTTAATGGGACAGAGCCTGTCCCTGAGAAAGGCATGGATCAGACGCAGGCAGCTAAGGCTCAGGGAGACCAGCTGTAAGACCCACTTAGTTCCCAGAATGGAGGTGATGACCAGGTAAATTAGGATACAGGCAGCGGAGGTGGGCTTTTAGGGTTATTTGGTGATTCGCATGGATGTGGTTAATGAGTAGGGAACAGCAGAGAGGGAAAAGTGTATCGGTCAGCTGTCCAGGTGTATCAGTCGGCTGTGCCGAATAACAAAAGGCTCCAAACCACAATGGCTTAAAACACAACCAGTGATCAGATCACTGGGCCGGTGAGCAGATGGATGGACACGTCTGCGCTACGCACAAGCTTAATGGAAAAGAGCCCCACTCCTATTAATATTTTGTAAAGGATGAGTTACATGGAAGCCTCCGAGGGTCGGGGTGACCAGTTGTAAGACCCATTTAGTTCCCAGACTGGAGGTGATGGGGAGCTAAATTAGGGGATAAGCAGCAGAGGTGGGCTTTTAGGGTTATTTGGTGATTCGCATAGATGTGTGTGGGACAGCGGAGAGGGGAAAGTGTATCAGTCAGCGGCGCTGCATAACAAAAGATCCAAAACGTAGAAGCTTAAAACACAACCATTTATCAGGTCACTGGGCGGGTGAGCAGATGGACACGTCTGCCCCACTTACGGTCTTAATGGACAAGGACCTGCCCCTATTAATATTTTGTAAAGGATGAATTACTTGGAGGCACCTAAGGGAGCCCAAACAGCATCCCGATGACGAGACAGAGGCGACGGGTGTTTATGAGGAAGGGACGGGGGACAGTGACACCCACGGCGGGAAGGCGTGGCCGTGGGCGCAGATAACAGGACGTCCTGACGCTGATTCTAAACAGGGTGTTTAATCTTCAGTCCTGAGGTCGCCCGTCCAGTGCGACCTGCTTTCCTGTCATCTTTCCAGACAGCTCTTTGGGACATGAGGTTGCTTTAGGCCCCGTGCAAAGGTCGTCTTGTCTGGTTTTAACATCCAAAGTTTGAGGCATTGGATGTGCCAGGCAGCTCCTGAGGACAGCAGCTCCGGCTCCGTTTTAAAGGGGCTTTATTTATATTATTATTATTTTTTAATGGAGACAGTAATTTACACTTTGAGAAGAGTACTGACTATCTCTGCAAGGTCCCACCTCATTTCTTTGTGCAAGAACCCCAAAACATTGCATTAAACTTGCCTTCGGGGTATCAGTATCGGGTCTGTGTCTGTGTCCAGAGACCCAGTGGGTTTCGTGGGGCCCCTTACCCGGGAACTTCTGGATTAAACATTGTTTCTTTCATAAGTAAACATTCTACATCCAAAAAAGTACAAATCCTTCAAATTAAACAAATTTTTAAAACCACATTAAGTGCGTCTTCTGTGCAAAGCCGTGGATGTCCTGGACGCTGATGCTACTGGAAAGGGGACCTGGCCCTGATGGGGTCTGCCCAGGACCAGCAGTTATTTAAAATTAAAGGTGTTCCTGCGGGCCGCTTTTTTTTTCTCTCTCTTTCAGACGATCTTGTTTTTTCTCGTTTCCTGCAGGCAACATGGTAGCTAAAATTGTGTCTCCCATCGTATCCGTGGTGGTGGTCACTCTGGTGGGGGCCGCAGCCAGCTATTTCCAACGCAACAGGAGGAGAAATTGCTTTAGAACAAATCGTGAGTTCCATCCCAATTTTTTTTTTTTCTATTTATAAAGCCCCCCCCCCCCAATACTTTCTGGCATCTTTCAAGAGCAATGTTATTTCTGGTTAAGTCCAATATAGACCCTCTTAAGTAAGTGATTTTTTTTTTTTTTGGTTTTGTTTTGTTTAA